ATTCTTTGCTATTGCAGGGTACTATCTGCCCCCATCCAGTGTGGCAGGGGACAGCCAGAGTTCAACATCTGACTCTGCCAAGAGCCGATGGACTGACACTGAGCAAGTTCCCTTTTTTAAGCTCCGTTTCTACATCTGCAAAACGATCATTAGACGAGGAGCAGCTTCCTGGGGTTGTGGGAGTTAAGTGAGAAAGTGCAAGAAAAGTGCCTAGCGTGTGTGTGTGATGTGCTCGAGCCGCGGAAATTGCTGCTGTTAGCATCCTCATTTTACGAGTGAGAAGATGGAGCCTCACAAGTTGTGCTTACTCATCAGCCAGGAGTGGATGGAGCAGCAGAGCATGTTTAGACCAGGTTCCTGATTTCTGTCCAGGGCACTGGTCACCCCTCTGGATGGTCATCCCCTATCCCTGGAGCACACTTCAATTGCGTTTTGTGGCATCCCCCCACCCACCTTGTTTTTTATCTTCTCCCGCTTTGGGAACCCACTGGCTTCCCCCTTTATCCCATAGCAGGTGTCCGAATGCTAGGTGCTGAGAGAATGCTGGGTTCGAGAGAAGAGAGGGTGTTAATGTAAAATCGATAACTGATAGATCCTGCCTTGATAGATCCTCCTGACCCATTAGTAAATCCCTGTGTGGAGGGCTGCGATCACTTCCTCTACTTCAGGTTGAGAGTTTCGAATTCCTCTCTGGCCCTAAAAATCAACACAGGCAGATTATGTAGACAGTAAGTCTTCTCCTGGTCTGCAGTCTTGCCAGTCTGTGAGCTGTCCAAGTTTATCTGTGGGGGATCTCAGAGACAGACAGAGAGAGAGAGAGAGAGAGAGAGAGAGAGAGAGATTCTTCCTTCACTTATTCAGCAGATAGGTAAAGGGGCTGTTCTCCTGGATCTTACATTCCAAGACTTGTCAACTATGACTCTAGTCTAGTCTGTAGTTGGGGACGTAGCCCATCTAAGAATACCATGGATCTTCCCAGTGTGGGAGGGGGCGGGGTTAAGAACAGGACTCTCATTTTCCTCGCTTTCTACGTATCTGATAAAACCTTAAGGTAGATGTACAGATAGATATTCAGTAATTGGAAAGCCAGGTGCTTCCCTGTGAGGGAAACATGACGGTTGCAGGATTCTGGGGATAGCAGTATACTGTTTGTTTGCCAAAAGAACTCAAAAGATTTGTATGTGGATTTTTTCCCGCTGTCACAAAATGCTAAGAAGACAAATTTGCAATAAAAATACACAATGTGAAGAAAAAAGAATAGAACAGAGTTAAAGATGACGATGCGAGGCTTGGCTACTATGTTTCCTTTCTCGGGAACAGAGATTTGAGAATAGCGGGAGGAGCTGGCTGTATTTCTTCTCTTTTTTCTTCAGAAGAAGGGAGTTCATCGAAGATGATGAATTTGGTTTTAAATTTTTTTTACGTTTTTATTTATTTTTGAGACAGAGAGAGACAGAGTACGAGCAGGGGAGGGGCAGAGAGAGAAGGAGAGACAGAATCCGAAGCAGGTTCCAGGCTCAGAGCTGTCAGCACAGAGCCCGATGCGGGGCTCGAACTCACGGACTGCGAGATCACGACCTGAGCGGAAGTCGGACGCTTAACCGACTGAGCCACCCAGGCGCCCCAATGATGAATTTGGTTTTAAACGTATTTATTATGAGGCGACCCTGGGACGTTTATATTTGGCCTGAAATCTGTTAAGAGTTTTATTTTTTTTTATGTTCTGTTTTGCCTGAAATCAAGGTAAAAGTAAGGCAGGGCTCCCCCTCCCTCAGGGGAGCCTTGGGGAACAGGGCTTCCTCCCCTTCTTCAGGCCTGTGGCAGTTACAGTGTGGACAGAAAACCCGAAATGTCCCTGAGCGGAGGCTGTCACCTGGGTCTTCCATCAGGACGAGTGATGGGAAGGCAGATCACACCTGCTGTGGAATTGGGGGTTGGGCGGGACATAGAAAACGGCTGAGCGTCTGCGGAGAGAGTGAGGGCCTCAGTCCCAGCAGCCCCATCGTGTGCAGACCGTGTCTGGGAGCAAGTGCTGGCTGGACCTTCCTTCCTGGGCAGGCCTGACAACCCAGCCTTCCTGGAGGCGGTCTGATGCCCTTGCAGTAACTTCACCTCGGCTCAGCGTAGGCAGAATCGGTTTTTGTCGCTTGTGTCCATAAACACTGACTACACATAATCCCACGAAGGGGTCCATGAAGTACTCGAAGGATTATTGTTCCAAAGAGACGTTGGTTGGAGCTGGATTTTCCTTCCCATCACTTCTAAATGAATAAAAATGAGCTACAGTAGTGTGCCCATGCTGAGTAAGACGAATGAAATAGTATGCTTATCTTATTGAGCTACTAAGCACCATGTCTACTTGATTGTTTAATAAACATGCCACCATTCTTGATCTCGTCCCCAAATCTGCCTCTGTCCTCGTCATTCTCATCTCAGGGGGGAAGAAAAAGAAAAGAAAAGGCGTTCCTGTTTCCATCCAGCTCCTCAAGCCAAAATCCTAAAGGCCATTCTTAAATCCTTGTTCGAGGTCCTTCCCTACTTCCCATCTACACACGGGCTCCCTTGAAGGGATCGCAGAGGTACCATGACTGGCCCCTTTGCCTCTGTTTCAGCCACCCAAATCGAAGTCACCATGATATCTTCACTCTTATATCACTTTTCTTGCTCCGATTCTGGACCCTTGAAATCTTCTCTCCACAAAGCATCCTGAGGGATTGTTCTGAATTGCACATCAAATCATATCATTTCCTCATTTGAAGGTCCTCCAGTGGCTTCACCTCAAACTTAAACCAAGCATCGGAACTCCTGACCAGGGCCTACCGGGCCCTACACAATACTTCCCTTGCCTGCCACGAGTGTGTGCCCTCCCTTTGCTCACACACTCGGCCATCGCTGATCTCCCCCCAGGCAGGCCTAGCTCTCCCTGTGTTGGCATTACCCTTGCTGTTTCCTAGAATGCTCTTCCTCTGTGTTGACAGAGCAGGCTTCTTCCTGACCTTGAAGGCACCGCTCAAAGGCTGCTGCTTCACAGAGCCCCTTCCTCCTGTACAGCCCTGTGACCCCTGTGACAGCCCCATGTTCTTTCTTCAGTCATACTCAGTGGCGTTTGTCAGTGTGTAAAGTTGTCTGCTTTATATCTGCAATTGTGTAGCGCCCAACTTCCCCTAGAATATCAGCGACATGAGAGCAGAGATCTTGTCATTGTATTTTACGTTGTGATTCCAGTGCCTAGAAAGATAATTAGCACTTAATAGATACTTGATAAATACTTGTTGAACAAATTAATGAAATAATTAAAGACAAGCCACCTAAGCATTTTAAGCCTTAGTTTGTCTCATGAGAAGCCCTCCTCATAGGGTGTCGTGAAAATTAAGTAAAACACTGAACGGAATGTACTTAGCACAATGCTTGATATATAGTAAGTGCTCCATAAATATTACTAGTTATTTTTTTATTGTTGGGTTAGCACTATACACATTTTTGTCAACACGTGAGCATATGTTATTTATTTTTGTCTTTTGCATAGGTACCAGTGTAGCAGAATGTTTAGTTAAATAAAATTAAGATTGTATTTTAGCTTTCAAGATACCTGCGGTAGGTTTCATAGGCCATTATCAGAATCAGGAGCATTTTCAAACTCTTCCCTCCTTCTCCTAGGAGAGTGTATCTGGTTCTCTTGGTGGAAATAGACATACATTTAAAATTTTTAAATGTTTAAAAAATGTTTAAAAAATTTTTAAATGTTTAAAATTTTTCCCTGGGTGATTATCACCTAGAGAGAAGAAAAGAACATATAAGACACTAGAATAATTTATCCAAGATCCAAACCACTTATAGATACAAGGAGACTTCCTAAAAAACAGAGGGGCAGGATGGGCATTTAGTTGGAGGGGTTCATTATGTATTGGAAGCCTGAGATTCAGAGGTTGCCCAGTTGTTCTGAAGATGGAAAGCTGAAGCCTAGGCAGAGGATTATACTGACTTAATGTTGATTTAACAATTAGTGACCTAGATTTCCTTTGCATGAATAACAGAAATGATCCCCACATGGGACCTGAGAGACCAACCAGGAGTCCAGGGGTCACCGATAGAAGGGAAGTGAGATAGATGGGTCATTATCCAAGTTGGCATCTGGTCTCCTTTCCTGTCAGAAACAGGATTGACTACAGATAAATATATGTATTGCTTAGCATATCAAGTGTACGTCTGGGCTTGGAGACAGGAACATGGGGGAATCTCCTTCCTTTGGAGGCCAACAGGAAATGAAATGAAGGAAATGAAATGGCCTATGGTGACCCTGAGCCTGAAGGATCACTTTAGGAAGCAGATCTGCTCCATCTGTCCATCAGTCTTTCTCTGTCCTACCTCTGACACCAACCCTCCTATGATGTCTTAAGCATTTCTCCCCTGGGGCTGATTGTTCCTACAGATACGCACAGGCTCTGCCCTTGGACCGTGTACAGACAGAATCCTTCAGTGATCATTGCACAGTTGCAAAGATTTCATCAGGTTGTGTTCTGAACATCTAGTGCAAAGACATATTTTCTATCAGAATAGACTTAAATAAATTATGTCTCAGAGATAAAATATTTCATACACTAGGGACACCTGGTGGCTTAGGTGGTTAAGTGTCCAACTCTTGATTTCAGTTCAGGTCATGATCTCACAGTTTGTGAGTTTGAGCCGCACGTTGGGCTCCTTGTTGATAGCAAAGAACCTGCTTGAGATTTTTTCTCTCTCCTTCTCACTCTTTCTGCCCCTCCCCCACTTGCGGCCTCTCCTCTGTCTCTCTCTCTCTCTTTCTCTTTCTCTCTTTCTCAAAATAAATAAATAAACCTTAATAGAAACAAAAATATTCACAATGTATGTTTAATTCTACATATATACATATGTAAACATAACAGTTAAGTTTTAGAGTTGTATATTCTGTAGCCTGTCACTTTAATTAAAGTATGTTCTAATGGATGTTCTAAGAATGTGCTTTTCTTTTAATATTTTAGTGCTGCCAACTGTCCCTATTCAGAAATCAATTTGAATAAAGACCGAATTTTCCCAGACCGCTTAAGTGGTGAGATGCCTCCGGCTAGTCCATCATTTCCAAGAAATAAAAGGGCAGACACAAATGAAATCTCTTCATCTCCTGAAATCAGGTAATTAAAGTGATAATATTAGTGATGTTTAGAAGTACTCTGGTTGAAAGAGGTTTTCTATCTCAGATGCTGTGTATTCTGTGGTTATCTTTTCTTGGGCATTATTGAAAATGCATTTCATTTCATGTAAAATGGTGGAGATAAGTGGTTGGACTTAAAAAAAAATGGAGAGTTGATACAAGCATATGTAAATCAGACAGGCTTTCTTATTTGTTCATCTTTTAGTCACACTTTGGGGGTGTTAGAAGTTTAGAAATTCCAGTCATTTTACTTCATGCCAGTTCATGTTTCTGAATGAACCGATCGGTATATAGAGCCATCCTTTATGAGGAAGATGTCCGATTTTTTGTGAAAAATGGGTGTTCTTTTTCATGCCCATGCCAAGTACTCGCATATATGTTATTGCTTTTAATTATTAAGATGTTAATTGTAGTACAGTTGACCCTTGAATGACATGGGGCACTGACCCCTTCCCCCACACAGTTGAAAATCCAAGTATAACCTGTGAGTCCCAAAGAAACTGAACTACTAATAGCCTACTGTTTACTGTTGACCGAAAGCCTAGCCAGTTATGTAAGCAGTTCATTAACACGTATTTCATATGTTATATGTATCATATACGGTATGCTTATAATAAACTAAGCTAGAGAAAAGAAAATGTCAATAAGAAAATCATAAATAAGAGAAAATACATTTATAGTAGTGTATGTATATTTATTGTAAAAAAAAAAAATGTATAAGTGGACCTGCTTAGTTCAAACCCATGTTGTTAAAGGGTCAACTGTATAAGCTCAGGCATTTAGTTTTGATTTCACTTGTAGAGTTGAGTTTGTATGTTTTAAGCTCTAAGTAAGGTCTGTGCCTTTACATTAACTGAGGACACTACTTAAAAAAAACAAAGCAGATTAGTGGAAAGATATGCCTTAGTACTTAGGTTTTGGAAGTTTCTTTTATGGAGTATTTTAAAACCTAAGGCTACGTAGTTTTTTATTGAAATAGTTTGTAACTTCCATTCTTATAGATGATAGATATAGGTGGACATTTTAATTAATAAATCTGATTCTAAATTCACAGCAGTGCTGTTGGAGTAATGGCATTTCAAGTCTCAGTATTCTTAGAGAAAGCAATTTTATCCTCTGGATGGCGGGGGGGGGCGGAGCTAATTAATTAATAACAAGAAGAGGATTTTTTGTTTTTACCCTTAAATCCATGACTAATGAAACATAAACTCATTTTACCCAACCCAGCACTCCAAAGTGAGATCATATCATATATAAGGAACTTTAAGACAAATAAAGTACGAATTCATATAGTAACAATTACAGATACAGAGTTCATTGATTCTGACTCACAAGGTGGTGAAAGTACCTAGTGTTTAGATTTCAGAAGCCAAGGTAATGTTTAAAATATCAGCAGAATACTCCGAAGTGCCAGCAGGCCTAGCTCACAGGCTTTTCGCTGACCGACTGGGCTCCAGGCCAGATTCCGAGGACCAGAGTCTCCTCCCAGCAGAATCTTCCTGGGCTGGTTTTCTGGGGTCTTTTTCTAACTCAGAAGTCACGTCAAAACCATCAAAGTGGATCTGACCATTCCAGTGACCTGTCTTTTGTGAGGTGTGCTCATGGTTCTTCATGGAATCACCTGAGGCGTTTTTAGTTTTCTGTATATAACCTATGACACGTTTCGTATCTAAATATTCTTCCATGTCATGGATTTTTAACCCATACTGTCTTTTGAGTCTGCGAATTCTGACCCGCCATTACTTTGTGTGAATGAACACTTACACTTGCGTGTCTTCAGATTAATTTCTTTAGGTTGTCTGCTTTCGTTGTTGGGTGCCAGGCTGTGGTAAATGAGTGTTCCGTTACTCATGATTTTAGAGACTTTGTTCAGATTTCTTCATGTCTTTCTCCTCCCAGATTTACTATTTTTATTTTATTTTTTTCATAAGTAGAAGTGACCTGAGAGATTGGATTAGTTACATGCAGTCAAAGGAAACGTGAGGGACACAATCAAAATGGCCCCTTAGGTTTTGAGGTGAACATTTTTGACCAAGATTTTCTTCTCACTGTATTTTTTATGCAGAAGTGTTTTTAAGAGATGCTTGCAGACATTTTGATATTTCAACCTAAATGCTTCATTTTGCATGTTTGAAAAAACAACATGTTTCAAAATAACACAGATTTATTTACTTGTTTAAATTTTTAAATTTCTTCTTTAAAATTCTTGAAAAAATTGGCTTCAGATTATTTTGGTTTTTCCTACTGCAGGCAGTCACTAGTTCTCCCAGCAATCAGAATGGCACTTGGTATTTTAGATACAAATGATCATGAGATGGCAACATATAGTAGGTGTTAATAAAAGAAAAGTTGTTAACAAAAAGTATATCTCGTGGCTTGAGGGTGGTTGATTTAAGGTAGAATTAACAGGGTAAAAGCTGGCTTCTTGGCTGTAAGTGAATCTGTATGAACATATTTAATATATTTTTTTCATTTTAAAAGTAAATATAAAGTTTTTGGATTGTGATTTCTTTAACCTGGATTTAGGGATGAAACAGTGAGCTGTGCAATGCTAAGAACTAGTAAGTAGTTCTAGTAAGTACTAGTAAGTATTAGTAAGTAGTAAGCCCTCAGTAAATGTTAGTTTGTATTCATGTTGCAAGAAGAATAGGTTACTTACTTGCTGCACGGTATAAGAACTGTAAAAGAGTAAAAGAAAGGCTGGCCATTTCTTTGACATTCCTAGGTTAAACTTTGAATATGGCATTCAAGACGATTCTCTTAATACCAGATTATGTTCTCTCTTCTTTTCCCATATTTGTCGCTCACATGGATGGAACTTTTTATTCAGGTTTTAACACATTTTCTTTGCATCCTTTGTAATAATTCACTAAATTTTGTAGCCAGACTGCACTGTATTTTTTCTTTTAAGTGCACTTTTAAATGCACTCCCAGCGGGAGACCGTTTGCATGCCTAGAAGATGACCCTGAGACAAAGATTCGGTTGCATGTGGTTTATTTGGGAGGTGAGGCAGACATCAGGAGGGGAGTGAGGAAGTGAGATGGAGAAAGGAAGACGGGCAGTGAAAGCCTTGTCGTGTTACCGATGACGGCTTGGAGACAGCAGGAACGCGGGCCTGCTGCGAACACTCTGGGCGTCCCTGTAAAGCACACATCGAGTCTTCCCAGCATAGGGATGGAGGAGCTGAGCTATTTAAGCCCTGGTTACCTCCAGCCGCAGAGTGAGGCTGCCGGGGGAGGGAGCACACGGCGATTCCCCCAGCACAACTGTCCTGACAGCATCTGCTCCGCCATTCCATTCACCCGTTTCGGATGCCAGAGGGTCACCAGAATGAGTGCTCTGCTGGCATTGCTTTTGATCTGGAAGCTGACATAACAAGGCCAGATAAATTAACAATGTGAGGAGCATGTGTTCCTTTCGTGCAATAACCTTTATTATTTATTTATTTATTTATTTATTTATTTATTTATTTATTTAGGGGTGAGTGCAAGTGGGGGTGGGAGAGAGGATCTGCAGCAGGCTCTTGGCTGACAGGCTGACAGCAGTGAACCCAATGTGGGGTCGAACTCATGAAGTGCAAGATCATGACCTGAGCCAAAGTTGGACACTCAACCCCCTGAGCCACCCAGGTGCCCCGTAACTGTTCTTTTAAGGGCTATTTCACAGGCTGTCTGCTCAGGCTGGGCCCATAGATGACTCGTTCCACAGCAGTAGCTCCTAGACTTTGCATCAGATTCCCAGAGACCTCCTCAGAATTCAGATTTGGGAGCCCAGGTCAGCCCATGAAGAATCTTCCGGGCTAGAGCCTAAGAGTCTGCGTTTAAAACAATTCTTTGGAAGTCTGTCTCCCTGCTTGACACTTTCAGTGACTTCCCATTACTCCTGAAATTGAGACCCTAATTCTGAACGTGGCCTGCAAGGTCCTGTGTTGTCAGGCCCGTGCCCAGCTCTCCAGCCTTCTCTCTGTCAGGCTCCTTTTTAAACTTAACGCTTCAACCACCTTGGTTCTCAGACATACTTTCTCTCTGCCTAGAGTCTCCGTGCCTGCCATCTCCTAGCTGGTCTCTCGTTTTGCAGGCTTCAGGTTCACTGTCATTTCCTCGGGGAAGCTTTGTCTGCTCTTCTAGACTGGTTCACGTTCCTCATCACATACCTTCACAGCACACATCCCGATGTTGTAGACAGTTTGTGTCAATACTTCTGAGTCTGCGTGCTTTGCTTGACAGTAAGCTCCACAAGGGCAGAGTCCACGTCTTCTCTGGTCCTGAGATATCCTCAGCACCAAGCATACCACCTGGCACACAGTAAGGATGCAGGGTGACCTTGGATCATCCACCAGCCTTCAAAGGAGACCTATCAGTTTTATGACCTAAAAGGCAATAGCTGTGTAATGTTTTTTGTTCTGGTGAAACACCTGCATTCTCAACTTTGTTAGATTCCCGCACCAGATATCTGTGGGCTGATTATTAAATGATGAGATGAATCCCCCAAATACATACTGGCACTCTTTTACGAATGAGGCAGTGCTTCCAACACTGTTGTCGTTTTAACTCCTGCCTCGTGTAGAAAACACCACAGAAGTGACGACGCTTTTATATGGTGCACCAAGGGAGTGAACGGGGCTGCCTCTGGATGACCAGATGGTGGCCTTGGCTTCTGGGAGGGCTACAGGGAACTTGTAGAACTCAGAGCACTTGTTCTCAGGGATTCACGGTATCCGAGCTGGGAAGCTCTGCCCCACATTAAGATGGCATCACCTTGAGTCCTTTTGTAGGCACGCTGAATATTTAGGCCCATTTTCCTGTAGCAGTTCGTCAAATGGATGGTTGGGTTATGAGTGCATTCCCAGCGTGGAGAGTCTGCAGTCCTTTTCAGTTGTATGTCGGTTCATCAGAAGTGTGAGGAGTGTGTTGTGTCTCGTGTTTTCAGTGGGAAGAGGTTTTCCTCGCTGCAGGGGCCAGGGGGTGGGCAGCACCTCA